CACACAAGTGACACATTGTGTGCCCCCCCCCATGTGTGCACACAGGAACACACACACACACACAATGGGCCACTGTCCCTCCCCCACAGTCTCCACTCCCCCTCCCTTTTCTCTCTACTCTCCTCTCCCCTCCCCTCAGACTCAGGCTTGGAACACTGGGTGCTTCAGCCAGACTTGGGAAGTCTGCGGCCTGGCCCTCCTGGCCCAGCCACTAGACACACTGCATGCACATCCCATTCCCAATTGCAGAAGCCCAGCTTAGCAACAGTAGTGGGCATTCTCCTGTCCTAGGACTGCGAAGCAGAACTGGACTGCTGGAGAGCTAAAGCAGCTGGGTGATGTGAGGGAAACTGACTCCCAGAGGGACTGGCTTTCCTCCAAGGTCACACTCAGGATGGATGCTGGGAGCAGGAGCCCACCCAGCAAACTACAGTAACTCTTGTTACTGGGAAGTAGGGAGAGCTGAGCCGGAGCAGAGTAGGGATCCTAGAGAGCAGTAGGGAGGAGTAGGTCAGAGCTCCAGCTGCTCAGTTCTCCCCCTCCTAATTACTGAAATCTTGCCTTAGCCCTTTCCTTGACTTGTCTACCTTTTCCTATACTAATACACCCATAAGCAGAGGACTGCTACACACCCAACTTCCTCCTGTGACCCTCATGAGTGCAAAGTACAGGGTAGTTGGGCTCACTGCCTTTGGACAAGCCCCCAAGCGTGAGCACCCAGCCTGGTATACATGCACACCCCCTAGCCATTCCTTCTTGTTCTGCTGCCTGCTGTAGCACAAAAGATTGCCTGCATGCATAAGCCTCTGTTTTTGATACCTGTTTAGGTCACCCTAGGTGTCCACAGGCTAAAGACCCCATGGTTCAGGGAATAAATACTGGCTAGGCACTGCTGTTGTGCCTCCTCAAGAAACCCAGAGCTCATCTCCTGGGATTATTCACCTTGAGCCTCTGAGTCAGTGGCCACTTCTGCACTGATTCACTCAGTGGGTAGTCATGGGACTGGGGTGCAAGCTGAAGCTAGGGCTCTTCCTGGACCTTCTAGGACTTCTGCAGGCCAGTATGATCTGTAAGGCCTGGACAGCTTGGATTAGGGGTTTCGGTTAAGTTCCCTCTTAGTGCAGGGGGTCATTGGGAGGCATCCTGAGTGTACTCCATGCTTCCTCCATTAGGTGTGTTCCTTATTCCCTATGTCCTGATTGCCCTGGTTGGAGGAATCCCCATTTTCTTCCTGGAAATCTCACTAGGCCAGTTCATGAAGGCCGGCAGCATCAATGTCTGGAACATCTGTCCCCTATTCAAAGGTGAGCCACCCTGAGGCAATTCTCAGCTCTCCTCTTTCCAACAACTGGGATGAGTGCAGGGGAACAGAATATGGCTGTGACCCACTTGAAGAAATCTTACTTTATCCTGAGCACTAGACTTAGGGGCTAGGTAATACCCTCCCTGACTTAGAGAATCTACAGGACATAAAAATAGTTAACATGAAGAGTCAGGATCTAGGGTGGGGCTGGCAGAGTTGTTTAAAGGAGAAACGAGGGAGCAGAGATGGCTAGGCATAGGGACAGGACCTGTTGGACACACCTGACTCATTACAGGCGTCCTACTACTGTCCCTAAAGCTGAACACACAGGAGTGAAGCAATTTGCCAAGGTTGCCCACTGAAGGGGCGAATATTTCCCATACTTTAGGTTATTAGAAAGCTCTCCCACCTGATGTGTAATGGTGGCTACTGGGTAACATGGGTGCAGGCTTGCCTTCTGACAATGAGACCTAGGAGAGGGGCAGCATTTGAAGCTGGACAATCAGCAGAATGTAGTAGCCACACAAGGTAGGAAAGGAGGTCTGTCTTTAGCTCTGGACTAGATGGAGGAGCTGAGGCATAGCGAATAGTAGAGAAACAGGGCAAATGTTACAGGCGGGAAAGGTAGACTAGTGTAGGAATACACACATTTGTGCTAAAAAAGCTTGGAGAACCCTCTGGCAGGATAAAGGGAAGTAGAGAATACAGGGAGAAAAGGAGCAAGCTGTTGAGAACTCAGCAAGAATCAGTGCCAGCTCTGGAAGGGGGAGATAATAGGAGTGGTAGGAAAATGGCCACAAAGGAGCCCAGAAGGAAAGGAAGCTTCTCACTCATCCTCAGGCCTGGGCTATGCCTCCATGGTGATTGTCTTCTACTGCAACACCTACTATATCATGGTGCTGGCCTGGGGCTTCTATTACCTGGTCAAGTCATTCACCACCACTTTGCCCTGGGCCACGTGTGGCCACACCTGGAACACTCCTGACTGTGTGGAGATCTTTCGCCATGAAGACTGTGCCAATGCCAGCCTGGCCAACCTCACATGTGACCAGCTTGCTGACCGTCGATCTCCTGTCATCGAGTTCTGGGAGTGAGTCAGGTGCCTCTGGGCCAAGCCCATCCTATCTCATCCCTTGGGCTCTCCTTATGTGGTCAGGCCTTGGGGGCACATGGCCAGGGATGCAAAACAACCACTCCTGCGCTTTGTCTGTCCCCATTCTCCGGGAGTGTCTAGGCTAGTCCTGGGTCTTGAATAGACATTGCTCCTACAGCAACACAGCATTTGCCATGGTCTTATCATGTTGACCCAATTAAGAAGCTGAGACTGCATATATGTAGAAGGTTGGGGTGAGGATTGTTGACCTGGGGTAGTTCTCCAGACACCTGATGGTGGGTCCTAGGTAGGGCTGTGGTGAGGGGTCCTCCCATCAAGTCCAAAGCAAATCCCAGTGGCCTCTGCTGACATGATGCTCAGGTGCCCTCCTTTCTTTTCTGCTCTAGGAACAAAGTTTTGAGACTCTCTGCGGGGCTGGAGGTGCCAGGGGCCCTCAACTGGGAGGTGACCCTATGCCTGCTGGCCTGCTGGGTGCTGGTCTACTTCTGTGTGTGGAAGGGGGTCAAGTCAACAGGAAAGGTACAGCTGGAGGCAAGCAGGGTGGGGCAGCATTGCCTGGGAGGTGTACATGTCTACAAGGGACACAAATACAACAGGGGGTGACTGGACTGAGGCTCAAGCCTACAGAGTGGGCAGGTCTTTTTTAGTCTCACCCTGTTGTTAGGCATTCTTTGTAATCTCACATCTAGGGATAGTAATCTTCAGCCCCAAGGGTGAAAAGTCCAGGCAGTAGCTACCCTTCCCTGTGTCCAACACTCCATCTCAGTCCTTTCCCTTTCCTCTTCCACTGTCTCTCTCTGTTTCTCCCTACTCATCCCTAGATGCCTAAGTCGATTTTTTTTCACTCTGGGTGGACTTGATCTTTAGAGCTCTCCTCACCTCTGTGGTCCTCAGGCCCCTCCTTCAGAGGTTCCCTCTCAGGTTACATTAAAACTGCCAAACCATGAGACATGGTCAGGTGCCTAGAGGGCCAGACTTATCGTTACACTGCAGTGCATCAATATTCATTCACAACATGGTCCTCAAGTGCTGAGTGTCTCCCTCCTTCCCTCTTTCTATTTCCCTCCCTCTTTCTTTAGCAGTAACACCAAGCTGTAAAACCAACCCTGTCCTCTTGCCCAGCTAGAATATCTAGCTGCCAAGGACCCCACCAGCCTATCAAGGATAACCTGGAGTTTGGGACTCCAGAGCTCTGAGGAATATGTGCTTATTATAATCCCATGTAACATTGCCACAGATTCTCCTTGCCCATACTCCCCAAACATTCCTGCCTTCATATAGATAGGCATGCTGCCACATGGACATACCCAGAAGCTGCCCCTCTGGAGAATGCACATCCTCTCACTGCCCATGGACTGATTTCCCTCTTTATACATTAGATGCACCTTAGGGACCCTCACCTTGGAATGCCATGGCCCTGTCTCTCCCTTCCTACTATAGCTGAATAGTGCCTTCTATGAAGCTGCCTGGGCCCCAGTATGGCCCCTAGCTTCCCTGTGGGTAGTCATTTAGGAATAGAATGAATGCTGGTGACTTTCCTCACCCAAATTCTGAGCGTGACTGCAGTTTGGGAACACTGTGTCCCATGTGTCCAGCTCACAGTAGCACTGGGAGCTAGCCACCAAGCTTAGGCAGGAGGCCTCTTAAGGGGGAACAGGGGTCAGAACGTCTCTGAGCACCCTGGCCCCCTAGATTGTGTACTTCACTGCTACATTCCCCTACGTGGTCCTCGTTGTGCTGCTGGTGCGAGGGGTGCTGCTGCCTGGAGCCCTGGATGGTATCATCTACTATCTCAAGCCTGACTGGTCAAAGCTGGGGTCCCCTCAGGTGAGCATAAGTGGTTTGTGGCAACAAGATTGGGGGATACAATCTATTGAGCAGGGTCTCTTATGACTCTGCTACCATCCCTTCCAGGTATGGATAGATGCCGGGACCCAGATTTTCTTCTCTTACGCAATCGGCCTAGGGGCACTCACAGCCCTAGGCAGCTACAATCGCTTCAACAACAACTGCTACAAGTAGGCACCTGCCTTCCCTGCCTTCCCTGCCTTACCCTGCCCTGCCCTGAAGCAGTGGAGCTGCTTAAACCAGAACATTCTGCCCCTCCACCCCCAGGGACGCCATCATCCTGGCACTAATCAACAGTGGGACCAGCTTCTTTGCTGGTTTTGTGGTCTTCTCCATCCTGGGCTTCATGGCCACAGAGCAGGGTGTGCACATCTCCAAGGTGGCAGAATCAGGTGAGCTGCCAGACCTTGGCCCATCTCCAGAACTGCAGAACTACCCTGATGTAGGGCAGGCACAAAACCATTCTGAAACATGACAGACGAGTTCAGCTAGCTGTTCAGATGGCTCTAAGCAGCTGACAAGGCTGTTCTCTGGAGCCAGGAGGCCACCCACCCTAGGGCTGCAGGGTGTGTCCTCATAGTTGTTGAGTGCTGGAGATAGAAAAGGAGATGCTTAAGCTGGGCGGTGGTGGCGCACGCCTTTAATCCCAGCACTTGGGAGGCAGACGTAGGTGGATCTCTGTGAGTTCAAGGCCAGCCTGGTGTACAGAGTGAGTTCCAGGGCAGCCAAAACTATACAAAGAAACCCTGTCTCAAAAAACAAAGAAGAAAAAGAGATGCTCCTTCAGCCCCTGCTGTGTTACTCCAGAGCAACTGCCATGGCTATTGGAGCCCAGGGAGAGTTAGTGTTGAGTCAGGAGCCCTGCTAATATGGGGTGAGACTACCAAGCATCATAGCCTTTGTAACTCCTGGTGTGAGATGCCTGTAGAACCTCAATGGGCCTAGCTATGCTGAGGCACAAATAGCCCCCAGGTTTTTATTGTTTTATTATCTGGGGGATGAGCATGACCTTGAGCATCAGGGTACTCAGGATGGTGCTGAGAGCCAGTCTCACCCTGCATCTTTGCACTCAGGGCCTGGCCTAGCCTTCATTGCCTACCCACGGGCTGTCACACTGATGCCTGTGGCCCCACTCTGGGCTGCCTTGTTCTTCTTCATGCTGCTGCTGCTCGGTCTGGACAGCCAGGTTTGCAGGAGCTCTAGGGCAAGAATGGGGTAGGGGCTGGTGGTCAGGGGGCTTGGCATTATTGGGAAAGAAATGCACGGGGACATGGGGGACCTGCCTGAGCTGCCCTGGCCACAGTTTGTAGGTGTGGAGGGCTTCATCACCGGGCTCCTGGATCTCCTCCCGGCTTCCTACTACTTCCGTTTCCAAAGGGAGATCTCCGTGGCCCTCTGCTGTGTCCTTTGCTTTGTCATCGATCTCTCCATGGTGACTGATGTGAGTTGGGGTAAGGTTGGCTACTGTCATCTCCAGCCATGGGCCATTATCTTTCCTGACCTGGCTCTGTTCTTCAGGGCGGAATGTACGTCTTCCAGCTGTTTGACTACTACTCAGCTAGTGGCACTACCCTGCTTTGGCAAGCCTTTTGGGAGTGTGTGGTGGTGGCTTGGGTTTACGGTAGGTCAAGGTGTAGGACTGGGTTAGAAATTTTAGGGTGGAATAGAGGTGGATGGTATCCAACTCTATCCTTCCCATCCACCTCACCCTGTTACAGGAGCTGACCGATTCATGGATGACATTGCCTGTATGATTGGGTACCGACCTTGCCCTTGGATGAAATGGTGCTGGTCCTTCTTCACCCCATTGGTCTGCATGGTAAGGCTGGGGAAGCTCGGCAAGTAGGGTGGTGTAGTGAGGTCCTGTGACTAAACACATCTGTGTACACAGGGCATCTTCATCTTCAACGTTGTATACTATGAGCCACTGGTCTACAACAATACCTACGTGTACCCATGGTGGGGCGAAGCCATTGGCTGGGCCTTTGCACTTTCTTCCATGATGTGTGTGCCCCTCCACCTCCTGTGCTCTCTCCTCAGAGCAAAAGGCACCATGGCAGAGGTAAGGTCCCTAACCAACTCTTCCCTGTGAGGGGCAAGCCATCATCCAGAAGCACAGCCAGCTCAGACTACAGGTTGATGGAAGGAAAGCTAAACTATCATGGCTTCGTGTGGCACCAGGGAAGCAAGGCCCACCTCTCACTTTCCTGGCTCCACACAAGAACTACTTAACCCTGCTTCCCATTGTAGGGAGCACAGCCCCTAAGGGTGCCCTAAGAGAACAGACCTGCTTTGGTGGCATGTAGTAGGAGATAGAGAGGCAGAAGCTGTTGCTGTGGGGTGGAGCAAGTGACTCATGGGAGGTTCAACATGCTCTCCTCTCTCACAGCGCTGGCAGCACCTGACCCAGCCTATCTGGGGCCTCCACCACTTGGAATACAGAGCTCAGGATGCAGATGTCAGGGGCCTGACCACCCTGACTCCAGTGTCTGAGAGCAGCAAGGTTGTCGTGGTGGAGAGTGTCATGTGACAGGCACCTCCAGCTCACATCACCAGCTCATCCTTTGGTAGCCATAGCAGCCCCTGCTTTAGCCTCTACCCATTCCTCCAGGGGGCCTGCCTTTCCTTGACAGTTTGGGGGTCTGCCAGGGGGGAGGGGGGAAGAAGCACCATGAGTGCTAACAAAAATAACTTTTTCCATTTTCAATAAAATGCCAAAAATATCACAACCCACCAAAAATAGATGCCTCTCCTCCCCAGCCCTTAGCCATGCTGGTACTTGCATTGCTTCCAGGCCCCACCTCCTGTCCTTCCATGTCCCCAGGACCTATCTTCTAGCCTTGCCAGCCCTACCTGCCTGCCTCCCACGCTCTGCTCTGTAACACACCTTCACCCAAGAAACAACAGTGGCAGCTTGGGGAACAGGAGAGGAGGGAAAGAATAAGGTGGGACAGGAGGGGGAGGCAAGAGAGTTACAGTGGAACTAAGGCAAATGTTTCAGCTGGATTAGATCCCTCTTCCCAACCCTATTCTAGAAGCTAGAGAGCCAGTCAGCAATGGAACCTTGTGTTCTTGCCCCAATTGCCACCAATATTAATTGTATGAGCTTGGGTCTGAGTGTGTGTGTGTGTGTGTGTGTGTGTGTGTGTGTGTGTGTGTGTGTGTGTGAAGGTGAATACCAGAAGTAAACAGAGCCTCTGGGCAAAGGAGGCTTGTATTTTGCACATTTTATAAGAAAAAAAACTGAGTGAGACTTCTGCTTGTATATTTCTAAAAAGCCCCAACCATCCCCACCCTACCATTCCTTTCCTTCACATCCCTACCTTTTTTCTCTGACCCTAGCCAAGGAGTGTGAATTTATAGACTTAATTTTCATAGGTGAAACAAGAGCTTCAGGCTGTTGAGTATGAGTCTGTTGTGTGGATGTTTTGTGTGGTCTCCAGCCTGAGACTGAAGTGGGAAAGTGGGGGCCTCAAGGGTATCCCCATGCTATCCCTTTGCCCCTAAGTTTGTGTGGGGTAGAAGGCTATAGCATTGTCCCAGGGTTCTGGGTCTGCTCACCTAGCATGCTCAGGCTTGCCCATACCCTGTTCCCTGGGCTGGGCATGATTGCAGGGATCACCCATGGACACAGCCCAGGGAAGGGATCCTGGGCACAGCTCCCACCTCTAAGCTAAAGGCTAATGTACTTTTGACATCTCAAGTCTTCCGTGTAGCAGGTTAAACTCACATCTGTGTCCCATCAAGCCTGAGATAGCTAAGTAGCCCTAGAAAGGCATCCTTCACACAGGGCTAGACTAAGCCAGGGAGGTGGGGCTGGATAAGGGTGCAGGCCTTTGGGGACGTTCTTACTGTGCTAAAAAAAAAAAGCCACTGCAAACATAGCAATAAAGACACTTCATTTTCCAAAATTGGCTCCTGCTTCTGCTTCCTGAAAGAAGGATGAAGTGGGGATACAGGTGTGGGGACCTTCCTCCAGCTCCATTCTGAGACTATATCTGGGACCATGTCAACTGGAAATACAACAGTAAAGGAACACAGTCATAAAGCCTCAGTCCCCTAGAGTGAAGAGCATGGGGTGACAGTAAGTTCAATAGGAACAAATGCAGCAGAAAAGATATGCTGCAGCCATGAGTTGCTCTTAAGCATTTTACTGAACTAGGCATGATAGCATGCTTAAGATATTGAGGCAGGCCAGGCAGTGGTGGTGCACACCTTTAATCCCAGCACTGAGGCAGAAGCAGATGGATCTCTGAGTTCAAGGTCAGCCGGATTTACAGAGTGAATTCCAGGACAGGCTTCAAAGCTACACAGAGAAACCCTGTTTGAAAAAAAATTGGGGCAGATGGATCAATACAAGTATTCCTAATCAAGTAGCCTTCCAAGATCTAAAAATAAAGGGCACCCTGGGATCACACAGACTGGGCACACTAGTATCTGGGCCTGTTTGTTTGCATTGGGGTCTACTTTTCTGGAAGAGCCAGAAGGGGCTGTGGGTGAGTACATGATGCAGGACTGAGGACAATTACCAGAGATTTGGGTTAAGCCACAGGAATGGTGCTGTCAAGTCCTGTAATGAGGAAAACTGGGAGTTGCCTTTGGGCATGTCATCTGGGAAATGTCATCCAAGTGTAGTTCTGGAAGTCTGGCCTAGAGCTCATACAGATGAGTTCTGAGTCTGGAAGGGCTGGGGGTAGAGCAAAGTGGGTAAGAAGGGAAGACTCAGCAAAATATACTATCCTGGGCCTTCCTTGACTGGCCTTCAAGGGTCAAACATGGTGCTACAGTTCACTGTAGCAAAGGACAAGAATGGTCTTGGACTACATGTAAAAACCTCACTTAAAAATTGGAATAAAAGTCAGCTGTGAAACCAGCTACTCAGGAGGCTGAAGCAGGAGGACCAATAGTTCAAGGTTGCTCATGCTGCAGAGTGAGTTCAAGGCCAGCCTTGTAGCTGAGGATATGATAGTTAACAGATCACCTACCTACAAGGTCCTGGATTTAATTCCCAGATTTCTGAAGGTGTGGGTATGGTAGGGTGGTGGTGGAGTTAGCTCAGCCTGGCAATCTCGGCTATTTGGGTGGGGGAGTGGCTAAGGCAGGGGAATCATAAATTTAAAGTCATCCTGGGCAACTTATCAAGATTGTCTCAAAACATAAAAAGCAGGATATATGTAAACATATACAGCTCAGAAGTAGAACACTTGCCTAGCATATGTAAAACCCTAAGTTCAATGCCCAGTGGAGGGAGGGACCCAAATGTACATGAATTATAGTTTGTCCATAGAATACAGTATTACTCAGCCTAAAAAAGGAAATTGAGATATATGCTACATGGGTGGTCCTGAAGGACATCATCAGTGAAATGAGCCACTTCCCAAAGAATATTGTATGATTCTATTCACAAGAAACTCCTAGAGCAGTCAAATCCATAGAGTAGAATGATGAGTACCAGGAGCTGGGGTTAAAGGTTTAATGGGGACAACTGCAATATGGGAAGATGAGCACTTAATTGTGCAAACGGATGATGTCAAGTTCTACATGTACAAGTGCTTAATGCCATCAAGTATGAACTTGAAAATGGTGAAGATGTTTTATGTGTTATATGAATTTTCCGGGCATTGGTGGCACACGCCGGCGCAGGCCTTTAATCCCAGCACTTGGGCAGCAGAGGCAGGCAGATCTCTGAGTTCAAGGCCAGCCTAGTCTACAGAGTGCCAGGATAGGCTCCAAAGCTACACAGAGAAACCCAGTCTCAAAAAACAAACAAACAAAAAAGCAGACCAAAGGGCAGTGGTGGCATATGCCTTTAATCCCAGCAGGCAGGTGGATCTCTGAGTTCAAGGCCAGTCTGGTCTACAGAGCAAGTTCCAGGACAGCCAGGATTACACAGAAAAACCCTGTCTCAAAACCCTCCTCCCAAAAGAAACTGAGACCAAAAGACCCAAGTAGAGAAAATGGAGTGGTGAACCATCAGACAGGATGCCCCAGAAGCTGGCCAGAGAGGGTAGTGGCCACGGTCAAAGTAGAAAATCAGGAGAGTTGATCTGGACTTTAGCCTTCCAAAGCACAGACAAGCAAGCCCCGGGAGGCCAGAAGTAATCAGGAACACTTCCTGGAAAAGCAGACTAGTCCTATGCCTTGGCATAGCAACCAGGTGGTATTACCAGAATGCCCCTGCCCCCATGGGCAACACCTTTAGACTGCTGGGAAAGGGGTGGATTCTTCACAGAGCAGCCATTTTTTTGAGGGTGAGGAAGAGTAACAGGATGCTTGCAAGGGCAGCTGCTTGGTCTAATCCCAGGCGGGTCAGACAGGAGTAGGAACATAGTTATCTATAAACCATCTAGCCAATATCAACATCTTCAGGAGTCACTCCAGGTACAAGAGACACTTCTAACTTGTTCCCACAATCCCTCCACCCTGTCTTCACAGACAGTAGGCATAGCATACACCCTGAAAAGCTGATAAAAGAGGGCAGGGTTAGGGTGGAGGGGTGACAAGTACCTAATCAGGGACAGGCCCTTTCATGTGCCCTGCTGGAAGGCAGCTTAGCTGCAGGTTGATCTTGCTTTAAGTAAGCAAGCAGTGAGGGCATAGACCTGTCAGCAAAGCAAGCCAGTGCTGAGAGGCAGGACCCCATCCAGTAAGTCTTCATAGCTGGTGGGCAGTAAAAACCCAAGTACTGTGCAGTCCTTTCTTGATTGCCCTGTTCTGCCCTAGCTAGCTCTAGGTCACTGCCAAGGACAGTCTCCTCTCCCAGTCAGCATTAGTCAGAGGTCATGCTGTAAGCCTTCAGGAGGGGGTTGGGCAGGGAGCGACTGATGGAGCTCTGCCACATTCTATCTGTCCTGAATGTGATGAATAGGAATCCAGAGAAGGCACCAGGAAGTCCTGCTGGTTTACCGGGCTTCCCATAGAGTTGCCAACTCCCAGGGAGACTGACAAGACTGACACTCCCTAACAGCCATAAAGTGGAGTTGTCCTGGTTGAAGAGGAGCAAGAGGGGGAAGGGCAGGGGCAGAGAAAACAGGAGCTTTGATTAAGTTCAAGGAAAGGAAGAGTACCACACTGGGCTTCTGCAACCTTCCTAGACACTATGCAGCTTTGAGAGGGGAGAAGAACCATCCCTAAAGCCTCAGACACAGTTTGTAACATAACAACCTTTATTGTCCCCAGGATAAAACAGTTGACCCGCCTCACAGCCTCCTTTAGGACACACAGCAAAACAAATTGGGCTTAACTGTATGACAGGTCACAAGTACCCTTCCACACTTCTAGGAGTGCAAAGTGCCCTGGCCAGGCAGGACTGTGGCAAAATTACTGTGAATGAGCAACAATCAGGTCCCTTTTGGTATGACTGCAGGATATGTAAAGGGGTTAAAATGATGATCTATAAACTATGGAAGAAAACTGGGGAAGTAGAAGGGAATAAACCCAAGTGCCAGAGAGAGGAGAGGCTAAGCTTTCAGGAAGCAGTGAGCATGGGTTAGGTGGAAGCCAGCTGCAGGCAGGGAAGACAAGCCTTTATTCCTCCTTCTTGTCTGAGGGACCACGTACTGAGGCCTGGAAAAGGAGGGAAAAAACCCAAAGAAGTAAATTAGCAGGACCCACTTCCACTCCTTGGGCCTTTAGTATTATGCCCCCAATCACTTGGTTCCTCTCTCCTGATAATAACAAGTACCCAGACAAGTAAGGTGCCCTACCCCCAACAGTACCCCAAAGCTCTCCAGGGTGGGTGTGTCAGTTTATCCATCCACTAGGGAAGACACTGGATCTAATGCTAGGAGAGGACTGGAAGGAACTCAGTGAGCTGAGCCCCATTACCGTGCAGTGGCAGCTAGAGGCAATAACCACACTTCTCTTTTACTACAGTGAGAACAGAACCAAGACCTCCTCTAGAGCACACAGCAGACCATCAGTCTTTAGGGCCTTTCCATCATTGTGTACTTTTCACTG